CAGCAGAGATAAAGGTCAGCATTGCGTGTATAGATCTGTTGAAATTAAATTTATGTTGTAGTTTTAAAGCCAAGAGAGAGAGAAATAAAGAGTTTAATCCCATGAGTCTGGATTTAGGCCAGGTTCCAAAATTAAAAGAACAGCATGCTATCCCACCAGTTCCCCCAGTGTAAGGTATATTTAGCTTCTAAGGTTTAATTATGGATCAACTAACTGTACAGCACTACAAATTTAAGGAAATATCTGGAAGTGTAGTTTAAACCTGTAATTTAAATCCTGTACTTTAAATCCAAAACGTTATATGTTCACGACATGTCACACTTCTCATGATTATAGTTAGCTTGGAGAATTTCTTCACTTTTCATTTTTTTAAAATATTAGTGGCTTGGAGGCTCACTGCTGTGCACTTCACATCGCTAACACATATCCAAAGCTCTTTGAAATATTAAAAAACCACGGTACAACATAAACAAGCAAGCACAAAACACCCAGGGGTTAAGAAAATGGAAAGATGAAATAAAAGGAGTGATTTTTTCCATGAGGTTTCGTTTCCATTTATGTTATGTCCACATACGTTTCCTAAATTTGTTTCCTTCAAATACTGTTCCATTGAGAAACAATGTTTCTCCTTTGCCCGACCACAAAGCACTCCCGGTATAACACGCTTCTACAGCCAAACTTGCTTATAATATGGTTGAACTATGTGCAATCAGTGTGCTCACTTCCCATGTGCCAGCCAGTTTTTCACACTAAAATGGACAACTTCTGGGTGATGAGGATGCCGTCAATGTTACTAGGTGTTTTGCTGCCAATATTCTGGTATGTACTTAGCTAGTGGGAAAAAAACATTGCCTACAGTAGCACAAGGCTAAACACACCTAGTAAGTTGCAGGTTCAATTCCATAATCTATGCTGAGAACCTATTTTAGCTGGGATAGCAGGTGACTACTACAATTGTCCCCAGCGCCTCTGGGTTAAGAAAATGGAGCATCAGCTCGGGTCCTCCTCCCTCCCCCCCGATCATTACTGTATCCAGTACCCCTGGTCCAGTACCCATGCATGTATATGGATATCAGGTTAGATATCCTGGGCTGGTTGCAAAAGCCCATCATCACCCACTATCCAGGCTCACAGATGGTGAACAGCCACTGACGTGAGGTACTGGAAGTTGTCGCGGGCTTGACTAATTGTATGCAAGCAGAAACCAAGAGATACAAGAGGAAAGGAGAAAATGAGAGGAGAAAAAGATGCTGGGATCTATTGTGGTTTGTCATTGTTGCTATAGTTGGGAAATCAATCATCTTCAACCTAATTGCAGATGTACAACCCTTATTCCAATGCATCCCCAGCGCCAAATAATTTCTACTTTTTATTAAACTACTGATCTACGCACACTATGCAGCTGTAGAAACTTGTCATGCAATCTGCATTGGGCTCAGTGTACATTAGCACACAGTGTAAACATGGCAGTTTGAAGATTTCCAACCTATATTGACATGGTCTCAGTGGCACTATTGTTTCTCAGTGTAGGATCAAAGTAGATTTACTTTGCACTTTTTTTTGTGGTTTTCAAATGAAAATGAAGTGACAGATTGTGAAGGTTTTCCTGAGACATTCGTGTACTACACCTGTTGGTAAACGGATATTTTCCACTGTTGATAACAGTAAAATAGGCTTCCGGCTGTGTCCTGCTTTCTCCTAGTTCTAAGGCTTTCTGGTGAAGAACAATCACTGGGAAGTAAGAGAGGAGCAGTGGCCTCAGCACCATCTCATTTCTTGTCTTTGCAGTTTAGGGGGTTCCTCTGTTGGAACCCAGGCTAGATAACAGCTACCTTTAAATCATTTTCATAGGAATTTTATGTATTACTTTCCCAACAGATGGAATACTGCAGCTCTCCAAAACATTCAGCATTATGTCAGATTTGTAAGTTTGTAAGATGTCTTCCATGCGGCTGTATAGTGTCTCAAAATACTCTTCTTCGACCGTGCCTTCGGTCAACCTGCTACCCCTACTCTCCCTGTCCTACACCCCTCCTGATCCCAACCCCAAGCCTGGGTCCAAATCCTTGAATGTCCAGTGCCTTAGGACATCCTCTCAACGTGGAAAGCACTATACAAATGTCATTTGTTGTAGTTGTTGCCCCCCAGTCAGTCTTTTCACTGCCTCACTCAAGGTCTTCTACATTACTCTCCTCAGATGGAATGTCTTCACCTCTGGAAGCTCCCTCTTGGCATTAGGCATGATGCCCGCTCAGCAATTTGTGATACACCATTTGTGAATCAGAGAATAAGGGGTTTAAGACGTGCATCAGATGGCGAAGGGGTGAGCAGGCCTTAAATCTCTTCAGTTCTGCCTGGCTCTGAGGATCTGGAAATACCACAAAAAAGAAACATCAGTGTTGCAGTGACAGGTACGGATATAAATACACATCATCCAGGATAATGTTGTTGATTAGTTGCCCAACAGAAAATACATAGTTCATATGCATTTATAAAGGACAAATTCAGAGTGACTGAAAAGCATACCTGCCAATTACACACATGTTTCTCACCATCAAAGCTAGACTAGTGCCTTTGTTCGCAGTCATCAATTGCACTGATTGAGTCTTGGCTGAAAAACTGGGGGAAGAATGCTGGTTTATTCTCTCTGGGTTAACTGTCCCCTCCCTCATAGCTATTTGGTTGCAGAGGAGTTTGGCTGCAGAGAAAACACAGTGTTATTATTGTACCAACCAAGACAGTAACATGGCTGGATCAATAAAGTGAATAACTACGGTAATTGTGCATGCACAGATTTTCTGTTTGTCAATGGTCACAGCATCTGGACGAATAGGCATTAAACTGATACTGCATTTACTTGTTGTTTCTGTACAAAGCAAGGGACACATGCAAAAGCATTTTTTTTTATTTTTGAAGTAAAGAAACTTACTTTTGAACTTGTCCCGAGCTGATTTGTTTTAATCTTGAGAAATTTTCCGGATGATACCTGTAGCATTCACCTTGGAGGTCAACTCTTGCCACACTTTCCATCTTCTTGCTTCTTGATGTGTACCTGCTCTTCCTTCCTCTCATTGACTACTCGAATGAAGGCATGCTGGGGCGCTCCACAAAAATGACCACTTTCTTTTCCATTATCTACTACTGGTAGCAAAAGCCCATCGTTTAGGCAAGGACCAGACTGGGGTCTTCACTGATGAATACATGAATATCAGAGTGGAAGAACAGCCACATTCCCTTTGAAAAACTATTATAGATTCTGTTCAACCAGCATTTTTGGCAGGGTATTCCATGTCCTAATAACATTTAAAATGTCACCTAATCTCTCCCTTGTCTTTTTTCATGATGATCATAAATAATAATAATCCTTGCATTTGATATAGCGCTGTTCACATCTTTTAGATGTCTCAAAGCGCTTCACAGAATATGCTGTAAAGTGAATTGACTGTATATTTTGTGGGCGAAATGCGGCAGCCAATTGCGCACAGCAGTGTCCCTCAAACAGTCATGGATTGAAGTGACCAAATTATTATTTTGTTTGTTGAGGGATTATTATCAGGCATGTGGAATAAGGAAACTTGCCCAAGATTTCGTCCTGCCAGGAATCAACCCCAAGTCTCTCACTTGCAAGGCGAGTGCTCTAACCACTGAGCTACAGGACTCCACAGTAAATTCAAGCCTTTTAGTTACTGACTCAAAAAAAATGGAAATAGGTTCTCCCTGCTTACCTTGTCAAAACACTTCATAGTTGTGAATACAACTATCAGACCTCCTCTCAACTTTCTCTGTTGTTGTAATAACACAGCATTTGTAATTATTTGTTAAAACTACTTGTCTGAAAGTTCAAACAAAAGCCATTCCTTTCATCCCACCAGTGTAGGGGAAGAAAGGTTTGGACCCCGTTTTTCTGCACTGCACACCATTCACTGACAAAAGGGCTGGTTGATAAGTAATGTGTTGCTAGGACTCTGGTCAATGCCACTCTGGTAGAAATGTTAGAGTTGTTAAGTTAAATCTTCCAATATCCTTTCCAATTAACTGGCTTCCGATCGTAACCTCTCCTTTGACAGTACAGCCATAATCAGGAGGTTGAAACTTGGGATACCGGTCAGCACAAGCCTACACCTGACATGCTCCGGCATAGCTTATTAGCAAGTCAGTGTATTTCTATTAAATGGTTAATTCGCTTCAACAACAAGCTGCATTTCCATCAATGGTTAAACTCCCAGAAAAAAACATTTCAGGATTATTCATTATGTCCACTGTCAGATCTCAGGACAGCACTGTCCAAAACTGAACTGATGCAGGTAAAATACAAGTCCATGAAATGATGGAGAGAGTTATAAAAATCACAAGAGACCCGGAATAGCTCATGTCCTCGACTGAAAGCACTTTAAAGTGCGCAGATGAATATCAAAAGCATCTTATTGCTTTTATGAAGTCTACGACATCTCAGAGTGACAAGCACAATAAAAGCACCTACCTGTAATTATAGTGCTAACCTTCATGCCAAATATAGATCATTCAAAAAGCTGACACTTTAGAGCCACAGCCTTTAGTCACCTAGCGTTTACAGTACAATTAAAGCTATGAGTGATTCTTCACTAAAATTGATTCACCATGTGGGTATTTCAAAAGGTTAATTTACGAAATTGTTCAGGACCTTGATAAATGCATTTCACTGAGGAAAAATCCAAGGAACTGTGCGTTTGCTACATATATATATATCTACTTTATGCAGTATCTTGAGTCATACTTCATGCATTATCATAAATCTTTAATGACATCAATAGCAGATATTTGCTTCTTACAGTATATTATTTACGTTGAAAGGGAAGACAAAGAGTTGTGTGTATGTCAAATAAGACAGCTTTCACACCTACACATACAACACTGAATCACTCTGCGAGTTCTTAATTGAGTCACGTTCATGTTGTGCCCATTCTCTGCCAGGAAACAAATGTTTCACTTGTTCAACATTACGTTAATAACAAACTACATACCTATCTCCTTTGTTTCCAGGAAAGCTCTCTGTAACATATGAAAGATTGAAGAAAAATCTATTAATATTACATCTTGCCAAAAAAAATACACAATTTATTTTTAAAAAATGCAATAATTCAATTTTGAATAACAAAGGGGATTTTAAATACAGTTCATAATAGTGAATGTTTTCCTCCAATCATTTGCTACTTTTCTGGGTCAGCACTGAATTCTTCTTCCAATAACTGCTAGATTTCATCCATTAAATTAGTCGCTTATGTTCCTTATGCATCAAAACCTCTCAAAGTCTTTTACAGTATTTAATGTAAAGTGTAGTGATTAATTTTACACTTTACATTAATTACTGCAAAAGATTTTGAGAGGGTTTGATGCAATAAGGTACATAAAAATGTAAGTTTTCATTCTTTCTTTGCTACCTCAGAAACAATGGAGACTATGATGAGTTGGCCACAACTAAATGTGGTCATATTGTGGACCGAAATCTCAATGCCAGCCTTTGCAGACATAAATCTGGTTTGTCCCAATAGGTTGCTTGCTGTTTCCATTCATGCACACAGTGACTAGAGAAAACTGGGTAGAGCAGGAAGAAACAAATTTTGCACAAGATCCATCTTATTCCTCCTGTTGGTTGCTGATGGTTGTAGAGAGGATTTGGATTTCAGTCCCAATGAACAAAGGAAGATAATACAGAGGCAAGTAGTTAACAGGCATGAGAAATGCAAATCCTTAGTAATTACATCTATGAAAATATAAATACAGAATACTACATTTATAAATAAATATATATTTTTAAAAAATATATATAAATACAGAACTGTACTTACATTGATTTGCACTGTGCTACTGTAAATATTTTTTTGCTACAGGATCTTTGTTTGAAATTCTCAGTGAAGTGTTTTGAGATATTTCAACATTATAGGCATTATATAGAGTGAAAGGATTATTATTATTTTATTATCTATTTTAGCAGATAGCCAGACACACAAGAAGCCAGGTTCTCAAAGAGCTGAATGCTAAGTTTATGGTAAGGCTAATGCTCTAAATTCTTGTGATACATTGAGAGAACTGCTTCATTTCTGCAGTTTTATTAGGCCAGTTTGCTCTGAATCTAAGGTGCTCAATAATGAAAGTTCTTTCTTTCTTCGATTTTTTTCTCAACTCATTTAAAAGATAACAATGGAGACTGTATGCCATTCCTCATAAGACCCATTTAGTTGGTAGAGAGAAGACAGTCATTCCATCAGTGTGGGCCGGGCATGAACTCAGATGGCAGAACTGAAAGAACATTGTTACTCCAGTTAATTTCATAACATCTCTGGTGAGTCATTGGCCAAGCTCACCTCCTGGATCAGTCAGGGACAAGATTCTGGAAAAGTTGCTCTAACGTCACCTTACTGGCCACCATGGAAACATCTAGTGTCACAAATGCCATACCTGCTGCAATACAATGCAAACCTTTATGCGTCAATGCTTGTGCTTTTGGTTTGATTTTCATTATTTGTGCTTTCACTGACAGGACCAAATGTCATATTGCTGTGCCATCGTGGCGTGCCCCTCAATTTGCTGATCCTGTCAATTTAAATGTTGGGTACTTTAACCTTCACATCAAGCTCATCATAGGAGGTTGCAAACATTTTTGGTAAAGAAAAGGAAAACAATCAACAAAACAACCAGTATCCAGTGATCTAATCAGTAGCTTTGGTATGAACCCTGCTAAACAGGTTAGTGCAGTTCAATGGTACATCAACATGCTGCACCATGGCTTCCTTCATAGACACATTCCTAATAACACATTCTCTCTGTTTCTCTCTCAAAAGAATAGAAGCATTGGAGGCTGGTTTCCCTGCACATCTCCAGTCAGACTGTTTGATCATCAACAGTGCTTACAGCAAGGTGGTCCAACCTTTTGGCTGCCGAGGGCCAGATGCTCTACTTGAGAAATGTCTGTGTGCCGCGTAAGCAATATTTTTATGTTTTGCTTCCAGAGACATAAATTTATGGGTTACGGAGGAAGTGGGTGGACCAGATGAAACGGTGGGAGGGAGGGGGAGTGCCTGAAGTCAGCCCATCCGCCAGTTGGACCACTCTACCTTAGAGAACTGTGGACCTGCTTGGCTCAAGACTGAGAAATGACTCGATCAATAGGATAGTAAAATGTCCACTGTTTGCAAGCACTTAGACTTGGATGATACGTTAATGATAGAGAGTCATAAGATATCACATTCTCCCCCTCCCTTCCAAAAGAATTGTGATGGTTTATGACCTCTCAGGTGCCGCCTGCCCTCTGACATCTTGCTCAAATTAATTTGTGGACAGCCACCATGGGGAGTGGGAGAGGGGGTGAGATAACAGCTGAGCCTGAACCTGTCCTTACCTGAAGACCACACATATTTTCAGCTGAGGATATCAGGTAAGATCAGGGGATCAACAAATCCTGCCTGATTTTCCCCTCTGCTAAATGTGGATATTGCAGCTAACTATCACTGTCCCTGTGACAACACCAGTGGATATATTCACTCTGTGCTTTATGGAAACATGGTGAGTGTGTGAGTAAGTAAGAGTAGAGGGAAAAGGGTGGGAGGTAGACGAGGGAGAGTGAGAGAGAGGGGAGTAGGTGAGAAGAAGGAAGAGTAAGAGCAAGGGGAGAGAGAGAGGGGGTGAGAGAGAGGAGAGTGGGAGGGGAGGAATGAGAGGGTTGAGGGAAAGACAGGAAATGAGTGGGAGAAATGCTGAAAAACACAGATACAAGAGGAGATAGAGATCCCTTCACAAAGGAGTATAGGTATATTCTCTACCAATGGCTCCCTCCACTCAACCTTTTGTTTCCAGATAAGCTTCCTCCCTCTTCCCTACGCTGGGATGGGCTATTCTTACAGTTAAAGAATAAATGTTAAATGAAACCAAGTAGGGGATAAACAAATAGTATACAAGGGCTATGGAGCTTTCCCCGAGAACGTTTTGAGGTATTGTACTTAGAATACATATGACTCAACACCATCTACCGTGAAGCACCAGCACTTTATATAAGAAGTTTAGAATTCAAGAAGCAGTGATATAATAGACAATTAGCAGTCAGTGTCAGACATATGATTGTTTTCAAGAAGTGCAAATCTAACTCGCGACAAAAGACAGCGCAGACCACTTAATAAATTATTACAAAATAATTTTCAAAGAAGTCATCATTTGCAAATAGCTAGGAAATCCTCATTCTTAGTAATATAAATTATTACAGTCGCCAACTTATAAAAATAATGAATACTGCGAATGAATCTCTCTATGGGGCCTTCCTCTGAAACAACAGTGTTGGTGTCATTAAGCAATTTTTTTCTTTCTATTATTTTACAATTTATTTGAAAGCAAATAAAAGTATCAACATCAACCACAGCTCCTTTCATTGAGTAAAGAAAGCATAAATCATCTTTGCAAAGCTATAGGAAAATAATGCCATAGAAAATTGTTAATTCTTTAAGTCAAGCTGTGAATCCACAATTTTGTGACTCCTCCAATCTAGAGCTCTCTGTGTGCTGGCAGCACACTTTTGCAGGATGGACTGCGATTTTGCCCAGGAACAAATGATCTCTTAGATGGGCAGAAAACATAGTAATGTTCCCAATCTAGTGGAACAATAACTCTACATCCAGTAGAATACTGTTATAAGGCACACTGATACAAGGTGAGTTTAGTTATAATGTGGAAGTCCTGTGGACCGTCATGGGCTTTGGTACTTGGATTGGCTTCCCGTGCACTAAATAAATACTCGTGGAGTCCTGTAGTTCAGTGGTTAGAGCACTCGCTTTGCAAGTGAGAGACCTGAGTTCAATTCCAGGCAGAGGGCGAAACCTTGGGCAAGTTTCCTTACTCCACACGCCTAATAATAATCCTCCAAAACTAAAAACAATAATTAAATTGGTCATTTTCAATCTACGACTGTTTGTGGGACATTGCTGTGCGCAATTGGCTGCCGCGTTCGCCCACAAATATACAGTCAATTCACTTTACAGTGTGTTCTGTGAAGCGCTTTGGGACGTCCTCCCGACGTGAAAAGCGCTATATCAAATGCAAGGATTATTATTATTATTATTATTATAATGTCTGTCTGATATCACTTCCTGCATGTTGCACATGTATGATATGTGCAGCAATAACAACAACTTGAATTTACACAGCAACCTTCATGTGGGGTCGTGTCTTGGAACGCTGATGTGCAAGAAGCTTCCTGTGCACAATGTGCGATTGCAGCACTCAGAAAGCTGCCGGTGACCTGATCACCCAGAGGTTTGACATCTGTTAGCGCGAGAAGCTAACTGGCATGAGCAGTGACATCACCAGGATTGTAATTGGTGACTCAGGAAATTCTTAATCGTTTCTGGTTACAATATAAGTTGGCGTTTTATGGAGCTTAACTGTCACATTGTAACAGGTTTCTCTTGCAGTAAAACAGAACAAAATGGATGCCAGGAAGGAGGTGTTACATTCCTGAAAAAATATGATGTTAAATATTTCCGATATATATATCTATACAATGTCAAATATAACATGTCAAATATGATGTCAAATAGTATATTACTTCATATATTCTGTGAAGTACTTTGACGCAAGGCGATAAAGCGTTACATCAAATGAAAGGATTTTTATAAATATTATTTCTTTCAAGGAAAATTATAGTGAAAGATGTCACTGAGAGACAGTTCAGAGTATGTTACTGGGTGCAATAGAAATGTATACAAATGCTAGTCCCTCAGGTAATGTTACCCTTGTTTTCTCTTTTCCGGTGCACCACAGATCATAGACCAGACAAACAGAAATTTCTATATGCACACTGCATCTGGGACTCAGCAGTTTGGTTGGTTGGATACTCTTAAGCATGCTGAAAGTGTTTCTGCGCATGTCAGACACCTGTTTGATCAAAAACAAAATACACTACAGTACCCCGCTCTCCCCTCGCACACACATGAACAGACGCCCTACTTGAGAAATGTCACACAGATGGGTGGGAAAGAATAGGAGGCTTTGCTTGCAGATACATT